CCCCAAAACCCCAAAACCCCAAAACCCCAAAACCCCAATATTTTACCTTGGCTTGAAATCCTAAATCTTATTAAATTAGTAGTTTTCCCACAAAATCTACAGCCATGGAGTAGATAAGCAATCATAAAATTTATTTCAGAATCTATTGAGAAGGAGTAATAGATGCCAATGCAACCAATCTTTCCTTAGAGACTTAGAAGCTAAATTCAGGGGTTAATCTGCCTACACTCAACGGCACACAGCACCTCGAGTTGTATGTTAGACGCAGGTGATACCAAATTCGAAGTTTATAAAGGCTTTGAGAGGTAGAGTAACAGAATGATCTCGATTCTTAAAATTCTTGTTCTTATATTTCTTGTAATTAGTTTTTAGATACTGAATTTTCAAAGAAATTTCAGAAATAGTATTATTCATGGAATGGTGTGTATTTTGGCAACATTTTAAGGCATAAAGTTATTATTTATTTGAATCCAGAGATCTTGTGATTCCTTACTATCAGCTCGTTTACAAATAATTAGCTTAGCCATTTTAATGTAGCCATTGCCATAGTGTAAGAAGCTATTCATCAAAGGAAACTGTAAGAGAACTGGAAGTATACAGCTAGGATTACTAGTATGATATTCCTTAGGCTACCACAGTCTGAGAGGAAGAACATAATGGTCTTCTTTAGCAGAAGTAAGCTCTTCCATTCTGTGTTAAGCTCATCTGTCGATTCTGAGATTGAAAGATGAGCTTTCTCACTTCATGATGCAAATGAGATCTCTTGATCGGAGATCTCTTCTTCACTTTCAGACTCTGAGAACAAGCTGTAATCTCCTAACGTTGTAGGATCTACTCTGTTGATCTGGAGAATCTGGATGAAGTCTGAAAGGATGTTTTCTCGTGGTGGTCATGGTATGAATAGAGTTACTATTTCTCAGATAATCAACAGGAACAGTAATAATTCATAGCTGATGACAGCACCTATTGTAATCACAACCAAACTTGTTAGCAAGTAAGGGAGTAAGTATAAATATTTGTAGGATTCGATCGAACTCGCTGTTATTAGAAATACCCCATTTATTGATGAAACCAAAAAGAAAGGTAGGATGATTGTCAGCCAATATGACACTACACCTTCTTCATCTAGAGGACTTAGAGGGTTTACTATATAATCATTAGAACGACTCAAAGCAGAAATAAGGTTAATATATTTACTTTTCGATGAAATTGAGGCATTTATGCTGACTTTTGAATCTTTAACAAGATTTTGTTGCTTTTCTATTCCCATATCTTCAGGCTTTATTTGTTCAATATCCGCTGTTGCAACCTCTAATGTCTCAGCTGGATTAATCAAAAGGCAACTCATTAAAGCCAAGATGCACACAAAGTGCCTATTCTTGTTCATTTTTATTCAATTTTGTATAATTGAATTGGGGTTTTGGGGTTTTGGGGTTTTGGGGTTTTGGGG